TTGCAGTCAGTGTCCTGGACACCGGGAGACAAACCAATGGACATTTGCAGTCAGACCCCTGGACACTGGGAGTCAACCCAATGGACATTTGCAGTCAGACCCCTGGACACTGGGAGTCAACCCAATGGACATTTGCAGTCAGACCCCTGGACTTGCTGTCAGTGACTGGACCCTGTGAGCGCGGGGCATTGCGGGATTAGCAGTTCTTGCTCCTGGCTTTACAGGCTGGACAGGACACAGCAGCACGTGGCTCCTGCCATCCTGGGAACCTCCGGCCGTCATTGTTTTCAATGTCGCAGCTCGAGCTCCCGGCCTCCCCGTGCTCTGGGGGAGGGGAGCCGAGCGTCGGCTCTGGGAACTACGAGTCCCAGCAGCCTGTGGGGCCCGGGGGTGGGAGGGGGGGCTGGGGCGCGCAGGCGCACGGTGACGCGGTGCCCTCCCTCTGACGTACTGGTCACGAGCGCCATGGCGGAAGTACACAAGGTAAACCGTCCAGTGGGAGGCTCGTCACAAACATGGTGCAGCTGCGGGGTGTGGAGAGAGAGAGGGGGGGGGAGGGGGGGAGAGAGGGGGGAGGGGGGGGAGGCAGGAGTGGGGAGAGGGGGGAGAGGGGGGGGAGGCAGGAGGTGGGGGAGAGGGGGGGGAGGCAGGAGGTGGGGAGAGGGGAGGAGAGGGGGGAGGCAGGAGGTGGGGGAGAGGGGGGAGAGGGGAGGAGAGGAGAGGGGGGGAGGCAGGAGGTGGGGGAGAGGGGGGGAGGCAGGAGGTGGGGGAGGGAGGCAGGAGGTGGGGGAAAGAGGGTGGGGAGGAAGGGGAGGGAAGGGGGGAGGAGAGACGTGGGGCAGCGAGGGGGAGGAGAGAGTGGGGCAGAGAGGGGGAGGCAGGAGGTGGGGGAGAGGGTGGGGGAGGTGGGGGAGGCAGGAGGTGGGGGAGAGGGGTGCGGGAGAAAGGGGGGAAGGGGAGGAGAGAGAGAGAGAGGGGGAGGGAAGGGGAGGAGAGAAAGTGAGAGAGAGGGGGGACGCTGTGAGCAGCAGTTAGTATCATAAGAGCCTGACAGGGGAGGAGTGTGTGAGCTGGAACAGGAGGGAGGGAGGGAGGCAGTTACTCTAATGAAGAGAGGACAGACAGTGGGTGGTTGATTGACTGATACCCAGGAGATGCAGCATTGCAGGGTGTCAGTCAGTGCAATGGCCAGTGTTGGGCTGAGGGCCGGGATGCAGTCAGTGTGTCTGAGACCTCAATGCAAATTTCATGCAAATCAGTTGGTTTTGATCAAGTTTTATGCTTATTAAAATTTGCTTTTTTCTTTGTCCCTGTCCGGACCCTCCCCACTCTACCCTCTCCTCCTCCCGCTCCCCCTCCAACAACACCCTCCTACACCCCCACCACTCTCCCCTCCTCCCCTCGCCTGCCACTCTCCTCTCCTCCCCCGCCCGCCACTCACCTCTCCTCCCCCGCTCACCACTCTCCCCTCCTCCCTCGCCTGCCACTCTCCCCTCCTCCCTCGCCTGCCACTCTCCTCCCCCGCCCGCCACTCACCTCTCCTCCCCCGCTCACCACTCTCCCCTCCTCCCCCGCCTGCCACTCTCCCTCCTCCCCGCCCGCCACTCTCCCCTCCTCCCCGCCCGCCACTCTCCCCTCCTCCCCCGCCTGCCACGCTAACCTCCTCCCCTGCCCCCCCACCCAACATCAACCTCCTCCCCCCACTCCTCATAAAATTATTAGCAGGGTTATACTTGTGCATGGGTATCATCATCTTGTACTGAGGCATACAAGAAAGTCCAGCAGGTTTGTGAACACAAGAACGTGCCATAAATTGGCTAGTGACCGCATGCATATGTGTTCTGAGAAATGTGGACTGGGAAGAGTTGCTCATCCCAAATTCCTACTCCTGCCTTATAATAATCCTTGCATTTGATATAGCGCTTTTCATGTCGGGAGGACGTCCCAAAGCGCTTCACAGAACACACTAAAGTGAATTGACTGTATATTTGTGGGCGAACGCGGCAGCCAATGCCTTGCCAGAAATTAAGCCGAAGCTTCAGTTCTATTTTTAAATGCTCTGAGACGCTGCCTCACATGAAGGGTGCTATGTATGAGCAATTGTTGTATTTTCATAATAGACTTCCTATTTATTTCAGGAACTTACAAATGCTGTACAAATGCTGCAGTGGGTGGTAATATCTTTTGACCATGCTCTTTATGTACATTTTGTATTATTGACTTTTAGATTTCAAATTCTCATTGGGTGACTTGACCGTTTCACTACAAACTATATACACAGGGCAACCAAAATGTTGTGATACCATTACAATGTCTAATAAGTCTTAAAGAAATTATGATATAGACACATTTTTAGTTAATACGGTAGATACCATGATTTTTTTGGTCATCCTGGAATGTGAGGAGTCTCACAGACAGAGGTCTTAGATGAGAATCAGCACGACGTACATGAATGTTTGTGGGATATTTTAAGATATTGTTTCATATTATGCAGAAAAATGTTTAATTTCTAAAAACAAAATTGAGCCCTGGGCAACTGGTAAAACTTCTATCCTGTACTTCAGTTTGTGAAATTATATAGTGTTGATAGTCCTACAAATAATTGCATTCAGTAGCTACTGTACTGTGTACCACTTCTGAAAAGTAAATATGACTAGGTCAGCCTGATCAAAATGTGACTGGCTTGAAGGTTTGGTTGTCCACTGTTAGGTGTTTTAATTGTTACCATTTCCTTCATAAACAACTTTACTGTAATCCATAAATTTACTGGGAATAATAATAATTTATTTGATATAGCATCTTTCAAGTCGTCGAGATGTCTCAAAGCGCTTCACAGGATATACTGTAAAGTGGATTGACTGTATTGTGAGCGAAACACGGCAGCCAGTTGCACACAGCAATGTCCCACAAACAGCCTTGGAGTGATTGAACAATTTTGTTTGGGGGATTGTTGGCCAGGACACTGGGAGAAACTCCCTTCTCGTTTTGACTAGTGCCATTATATCACCTGAGCAGGCAGATGGGACCTATGTTTAAATGTCTCATCCAGAGGACAGGAGGTACAAGGATGGACTTGTTCTTTCTCAATCATCCAGTGTATCTAACCATTAAGAATGAACTGGATTGGTTTTCTGCTCTGTTCATTCTTTAATATAAATTCATGGAAAATTTCCAGGGATTCTGCTATTTATTTTAAATGGGGCCCCTATAGAAAATTCCAGCAAGCTAGTTGGGAAAATTACCAAATTTAGCAGAGGCAGTTTTGCAATCCTTTGAATGATCTTTTACCATTACAACGTGGAAATTTTTCATCTTTTTTGTAGGAGCACTACTTGTCTACATCTTGTAGTATTTCAGTAGCTAAATTGGAGTTCAGAGATTATCAAGTGATGTTAGCCATAATCATATACTGTATTTCATACAAGAGCAATGCAATACTTTGTAGTTAAGTGGAAATCATTTTAAGCAATCTTCAGAGAAAAAATTGACGTGGCATCTTACAGTCAGTATAAAGAGATGGTTTTGGTGTCAAAGCTACTTCACAAATATTAGCAAAGCTAACTTGTTTGGATGGGAGTGAGGACCATGTTATATCAAACACTTCACAGAATATATTGGAAAATGATCTAACTATTTTGTGGGTGAAATGAAGCAGCCAATTGTGCACAGCAGTGCAAACAAACAGTTATGGGTTGAGTAACCACATTTTTTTTAAGGATTATTACCCCCAGAAAGCAATCCGCCAATCGACTAACAACTGGGTTCCTACTTGCTGCTAGGTAAACAGAAGCGTGTGGAGTAAGGAAACTTGCCTCAGGTTTTGCCCCACTTGGTCCTCGAACCCAGGTCCACTCGCTTACGAGGCGAGCGTGCTAAACACTACAGAAAAGAAGAAAAACAGCAGAACACAAGGGTATGGGTTTAGGGTAAGGTTAATATTAGGTGTGATAATTGATCAGGAAATGTACGTACAACAGCTGTCGGCTCGGCAAATTGGTTAGTGCCATTAACCTCAGGCTTGTAAGTCACAAGTTATTCTCTTGTACAGATCACCAGTGAGGGCACATTTGGAAGACTGGAGGTGATGCTTCTATGATAGTAACTTTTGCACATCCTGACAATGTTGTCACAGAGCTTGGTATTTGATAAGCAATGCTTCAATGATTAGAGTCAAGGCTTCTCGAGTCAGGAGGACAAAACCAGTATCCCGGTTATATTAATTACAATACCAATAATAAAATTACATTTATACAGTGCCTTTCATGTCGGGAGGACGTCCCAAAGCGCTGGACAGTCAGAGGTCGGGATCCAAGCATGGGGATGGTGTAGGCATGAGGGAAGGCAGAGAGGTGGGAGGGCGACCTAAGGCACAATCGAAAAGAAGGGCCTTGAGGCCAGCCTTGAAGGAGGCAAGGGAGGAAGTGAGGCAAAGGGACCGTGGGATGGAGTTCCAGAGTGTGGGGCAGAGAGGCTGAAAGTCCAGCCACCGATGGTAAGGCGGGTTGGGCGGGAGACATGGAGCAGACTGAAACCCACTGAACAGAGGGAGCGGGTAGGTTAATAGGGAGTCAGCAGGTGAGAGAGATAGGAGGGGGCAAGGCCATGGATGGCCTTGAAAGTGAGGACAAGGATCTTGAAGTCGATCCTCTGAGGGATGGGGAGCCAGTGGAGTCAGCTGAGGATGGGAGTGATGTGCTCATGGAGCGAGAGTACACGAGCTGCAGAGTTTTGGATGATCTGCAGCTTGTGAAGGGAAGAGTTGGGAAGGCTGAATGTGTAGGCGAGGGTTTCGGCAGCATGATGGGTGAGGCAGTGGCAGAGTCTGGCAATGTGGAGGTGGTGGTAGGCAACAACAACAAGATTCCATTTATAGAGCGCCTTTCACGTCGGGAGGACGTCCCAAGGCATTGTACAGTTGGGTCAGGACCCGAGCAGGGGGGAAATGGTCAGGGGGAGGGGAGGGAAGGGAGGGAGTGAGGAGGGGGTAGAGAGTCGAGAGGGGAGCTGAAGGCACGGTCAAAGAGACCGGCAGTGCCGGTCATGGCACGGATGTGGGGGAGAAAGGGTCAAACAAGATAGCGGGCTCAGCGAACTGCTTCACATGCCCTGCCTCGCTATCTCACTATTGGCAGATGCCCCCTTCAAGCCCCTTCTCTTCGACCGTGCTTTCGATCTGCATCCCCCCCTGCCCTCCACACTCAGGTCGGGTCCGAAACTCTGTCCAGCGCTTTGGGACGTCCTCCCGATGTGCAAGGTGCTATATTAATGTAATTTTGTTGTTGTTATCTATAATTTTCATAAATGGATAGGATGGTTTACTGTTTCCCAATGGGTCACTTAAAGGATAATTTTGATTGGACCATAAGAAAGGCACCAAGTACATGAAGTAATTGGTGCTATACAATTACCATTGGGTACCCTAATTTGAGGAGGTTCTCAATCCCCATAAAAGAACGAATGCCATGAGCTCGGGATGGCTTTTTCTACATGATGACAACAAAGGTATGTGCTGTGACTATTGATGAGTAGTAGTCAGAGGTTGGTTCTTTGTGCACTTTACATTAACTTCATTACAAGTGGCTGCTAGCGTGTATAGTTTAAGTGTGATTAATGGTTGTTGTCTCATAGTTGTGTTTGTTGAATATTTATCATGTTTAAGATATAATACCGAGGGGTGTGGATTTCATTGAAGCTACAATAAAATTCCATTGAGCTAACTTAACCGTGCTTAACTTGAGCTTTCTGTATAAATCAAAGAAGGAAGGATTACACAAGCAGGTTCAGCCTAGGTCGCAGAGGTGTAAAATAAATTGATTGACTGAAGCTTCCCAATTTGCTTTAATTTAAATAGAAATTGATAGGACCTGTCATCGTGGAAGGACTCATTGGTCAAGTTGCACCTAGTTATAGGGATTTGCATTCATTAGTGAGGATTGAACACAGAGGCCACCCTGTGCACAACAAGAGAGAGTGAGCCATATCGTGGGTGTACTTATATGGGTGATAGAACTGTTTAAGGACGCTGCTGTATGCAAATGGCTGTGCGTTTTGCCCACAAAATATACAGACAATTCACTTTACAGAATATTCTGTGAAGCTCTTTGAGACATCTCGACGATGTGATAAGGTGCTATATCAAATGCAAGGATTATTATTAGAATGCAGAGGAGAGGGAGTCCATGCAAGGGAAATGTACGTCGTACAGTAGTACTTATGACCTGCTACTATAGGCATTGATATCAATGGTGAGAGGCTGACTCTTCCAGCAGTTCACATTGGCGATGTCTGAGGAGGATACTGTGATACCTGACTGCTTGTTCCGCGGAAACCTTTTATTTCTGAACCAAATTTATTTCAATGTAATAAATATCAAATGAACTACTGAATTGACCCCACAATATTAGTTTTCAAACGGGAACTAGATAAATACGTAAAATGCTTCAGAGGTTTGGCGAAAGGGCAGGGAAATGGGACTGAAAGGATCACTCTCGTAGGCCAAATCACCTCCTGTGCTTTAACTTCCCAAGGTTCTATGTACAGTAAAATGATTCACCACTGAAAAGTAATTGTTTTTGAAAATGTTGACTTAATACTGTATTCACTTTTAACAGTAATAATCCTTGCGTTTGATATAGGCTTTATCACGTTGTTGAGACGTCTCAAATCACTTCAAAGAATATACTGTAGAATGAATTGACTGTATATTTTGTGGACAATCTAACCTCATCTACTTCTTCTTTCAGGATCCAAAGAATTCTGAGGAGTCCACAGACGAATCTGAAGTAAGATCTCTTTAGTGTTGAGTATAGCTCTGGCTGGTATTTCACTAACTGTTAGGCTGTAATTTCAAATATAGTTGTTTAAAATGAAATTGCTTGCCATCAAATAATATGCAAATATTGACTATTTCTGTGGACTTTACTGCTGAAATATTACCCTGAGGATTTCTTACTACTGTACAAGTGACTGAGGATTTCTCATAAGACCTGAAGCCAAAGCTTTGTATTACTATACAGCCTGCAGCCATTAGCAGGAAAATCTGGCAAACCAGAATCCTTGATTTACTGAAATATCCCTCATTAGGCTTTATAAGGAAAGATCTCCTAATAATAGTACTACTAATAATAATCCTTGCATTTGATATAGTGCCTTTTCACGTCATTGAAACATCTCAAAGCGCGTCACAGAATATATTATAAAGTGAATTGACTGTATTTTTTGGGTGAAAGTCGGGGGGCCAATTGCGCACAAGTGTCCCACAAACAGTCGTGAATTGTTCCTTAAATGTTAAGTGTACATTTATAAAGACGATACAGATGTTCTTCATCCTAGTTTTACTAAAGTGACCTCTTTCTATTGTGCTCTGCATGTACTACGTGGTGTTTATAACCCTGGGGATACATTTTTGTGTTGCATCCCTCCATAGTAGCTAGGAATGTATTTGTAGTTATGCTTTCAGCTTTTGTTCAACATATATGCACAGTTGCAAATTGTCATCATTGAATTTTGCGAAGCACTTTATGGCACCTTGGAACGAATTGCATTATCCTCGGACTATACGAGAAGCTAACCATGTTTGTTTGGTGCAGGAGTCTTACTGCAGTCCTCAAAACGGTTTATAAATCACGGCACTCCTGTTTTGACAGCTGTACTGTTTGCCTTTGCGAGTCGCAGAGTTGAAATAGCAGAGACCTCCATCTGAATCAGTCGCTTCATCAAAATGAATGTACGGCTTAGAGCAGGTTCACAGAGACCTGCGGATGTTTCTGTATCAGTGCAACCAACAAGCTTCCTTTTTAGTTCTTGTTGCACCCAAACTTTATAATCTTTTTTCAACCTTGTTCTCCTGCCTGCACCCTCCGGTCCTCCAATAATAAAACAATTCCTTGCATTTGGTATAGGGTCTTTCAATTGGTATAGAGTTGGGAGAACGTCCTAAAACACTTCACAGGATATACTATAAAGTGCAATGACTCTTTTGTGAACAATTGCGGCAATTAGCGCAATAACCAATTAGGCACAGTAGTGTCACAAATAGCCCTGGAGTGAATGACAAATTTTATTTGGGGGAATTTTGGCTCGTGCACTGGGAGAAACTCCTCTTTTTGACCACTGCCAAGGGATGTTTAATGTCCAAGTGAACAGACAGACGGGACCTTGATCTTAACGCATCATTCGCACCTTCAATAATGCAGCACAGAATTACATTGGAGTGTCATCTTAGGCTATATCAGTTCCAAGTCCTGATATGGGGCTTGAACCCACAACTTTATGACTTGGGTGAGTGTGCTACCAACTGGACCTGGTCCTCATTTGTGTTAGCTTGGCTCTGTAGTAGCAATCACCTCAGAGTCAGAAGGTTGTTGGTTCAAGTCCTGGGGGATGTTTCATTGGAGGAGGTGCTGTCCTTCAGATGAGAGGTTAAATTGGGGTATTGCCTTCTCAGGTAGACGTTGAAGACGCCATGGCACTATTGAAACAGAGAAAGAGGTATCCCCTGGTGTTGTGGCCAACAAATTTCCTGAATAAAATTGGTCACTCCCTATTTGTGGGACATCCCTATGCGCAAACTGTCTGCTGCTTTTCGCCCACAAATACACAGTTACTCCAATTCATAATAAATCCTGTGAAATGCTTTGGGACGTCCTTCTGATGTGATAAAGCTCTATATTAAACGCAAAGATTATTTATCGCTGATCCCCTTATCCCACCATCGAGTGATAAAGCTTTCCTCTGAAACTCCCAAAATCGCCTCACTTTTCACGCACTGCTTCACAAACCAGTCCAAATGCCTATCTCATTATCTATGATTTCATGTAACATCCTCAATCCCTCCAATCTTTGCTTGGTCAGTGTCCAGCATTGTCTCTGTGAAGCCCTATGAAATACAATCTTCAATGAAAGGGACCATTTTTGAATATCCTGGCTGGTGGGTGGCTGGATTAATCAGCATTTATCTTTCATGATAAATCTTTTAGGTTTGACCAGGTGGTGACCAATGTTAAGTGTGGGTGGGTTGGGGGGATTTTTTTATAGGTCTATTAATTGTTTTTCTTGAGAATATAAAATAAATAAACCCTTGCATTTGACTTAATTTAATTGTTTGACTCCTTATAGCTCTCCAGAGTCTGTTGCAGTTTCATGACTACGAGACTAGATCCTTGCATTTGACGTGGCACCTTATCACATTGCGCAGATGTCTCCAAGCGCTTCACAGGATATCCTGTAAAGTGGATTCACTGCGTATTTTGTGGGCAAAATGCAGCAGCCAATTGTGCACAGCAATGTCCCACAAACAGCCATGGAGTGAGTGACCATTATTTTATTTTGAGGGATCGTTAACCAGGACACCAGAAGAAACTCCCTTCTCTTTTTGAATAGTGCTGTGAGATTTTTAACATTAACCTGAACAGGCAGATGGGACTTCGTTTAATGTATACCATCAAATCTGAGCGAGCTCATTCTAGCTGAGATTGTGTACCTTTCCAGCTCCACATGGCTATGTGCAGAATGTATTTATTCCAAGAAATAAACCATACAGAGTTCATGCGTTATCATAATAAGTGTTTGTTGAGCCTCAGAACTTGTTCAGGTTTCCCTCTGTTGGGGTTTTCAAAGGGATTTAATGCTGAGCTTCCACAGAACTACATGATCTGAATCAGTCCAACTATTCATGCTGCTCCAAATGCAGCATTTAAAAGGGAATTGGATAAATATGTGTACAAAAGTATATTAGTACAGCAAGGTAGTGGAATAGGATTAGAGCAGATCACACTGTGGGAGCTAGCATCAGCACAGATACAACGGACCCAGTGACCTCCTTCAGTGCTGCAAACTTTCTAGGATCCTAGAAAATCATAATCTAGCAAAAGAGAGCAGGGTTGTTTCCCTCAGTACAGCCTCCCTCACAACCTCCCCACTCCCAGAAGAATTGAATGCCACACAGCAAATCATGGTGACTACAATAAATGAAGAGATGAAACTTGGAAATCTTTGATTTTTGTTTATATGAATCCTTCAAGCGCTAGCTTTTTGAAATCCACACCACTCATCTGTTCTCTATAATACACGAGGGAATCCAATTGTTAGTATTTGTAAACTTGGCCCAGTTGTGTTGCTGAATTTTTGTTTGCGAGACATCTTATTTTCGAAGGGCTTGTATAAAATGGTCAGTTTTCATCCTTAAGCAAAACTGGTCTACGGATGCGATTAACAGATTTGGGAACACTGCCGCAGACAAGTGTATGAGGCAGATCACAGTGACCAGTGAACAAACAGTCAAGAGGAGATTGACCACTTCTTGAGTGAAAGAATTTGTGCGTTCTATTAGTGTAGTAATATACATTACTTACAGAAACATTTAATAAGTGAGTATGCTGCACAAGTACAAGATACAGCAATCAATCCTCTATCTTCATTTATCTTCAAGCGCTCCGGGACACTACCCTGTGTGAAGGGTGCTATATAAATGCAAGTTGTTGTCTATTGAATGTGCAGTAATTTCTGAACACCGATTTAGTACTTCTCTGAAGGTCACCGAAGTTCTAGATGAAATATTTGCTGAAATTGTGAAAATACTCTTGCATTTCACTTATTGATATATTCTGATCAAAATATTTTCCTCAAATTGCATGGTTCCTCCTTGTTGCAGCAGTAATTAGAAATGTGTTGGAATGTTTCATGCATCTTTTGAGTTGCTTTCCTGTAAAAGAAATAGTACTGGGTTTGGATGGGGGAGGTTTAACAAACATACATGCATTCAACGTCCTGCACTGTTTGGGATTGAATCAATCTGAGCAGCTGCAGTGTCACTAGTTTTACTGCAGTTAAGTGTAAAATGGCTTTTAAAAGTAAGTTGCAGGGTAGGGTATTGGGCCACCCATATGGAATTTAATATTAAACCAGTTACCTAGGTGTCAAAGTGCCCCCAGCTGCGAATGTTAATGTACAGCGACTCCGCTTTCTTTAAACTCTTTGGGCGAGACTGCTGCAGAGTAGGTAGATGCACCGAGCCTCCTTGCTCTGAATCGCTCTCCTAGTAGAGAATGCTTTCCATCGCTTCTGTGCTACAACTGAGGATTGAGCGTAAATCAGCAGGGTTATGTGAGATCTGGTCTCATTCAATCACTGCTCTGCAGAACTGTTTGTAAGGGAAGGGCCAGTTTAGGTCAGTTTTATTTTCATAGCCAAATGAAAGGTCTCTTAAGGTCTGCTCCAAATGACGATGTTATTATGAGACTATAACATCAAGCTCCTGAGATCTTCATTTAAACTGGTGAGGATTCAATCTTCATCTTGAATTGTTTTGTATACAGGGTGCTCCAGACTAATACAAATCAATAATGCTAAATCTTATGAGTTGGAACAAATTAAAATATATTATGGTGTAGGACTTTATCACCCAGAATTGATTCCCCCCCACCCCCACCTCTCTGCAGCTCAGGTTTGTCCTTTTTGAAGTGTAAGGGCAAAATGTCGCTCTGTTCATGTCTTGGTCCTGCTGGAAGTCAAAACTTGTTACTGGTTTCACCAGGTTTCCATAGAAACGGGGCTAGCTGTCATTTCAGCTCAGAACATTAATGGTTATATTTTGTGGGTTTGCAGGATTATTAAAATTTAACAAAATTATTGATTTTTCTTTTATTTACGGTCGTGGAGTTTTCTCATGATACTCATGAGTGTATGTTCTCGTACTACAAAGCTTTTTGCACCACTGTTTGTTATGTAACCAGTAATATTAAAATGTTCCCTTTTTCCCAATCCCCGGAAAACGCTATTGCAA